ACGAATTTGAGGGCAAAATGCAATACAAGGTCATAGAAGGGATTCTCTTGCTCCTCCAAACTCGTGTCTTGGTCTTCAATGTTGCTTTTGGGAAGGGAATGATGATAGGAGTTGTCAATGCAACCTTCTTGTTCATCCTCACCATGGGAGCTCTCCGGGGTGAATTCCTCTTGCTCCATACGGTTGTCATTGATCGCTCCTTCAACCTCCTCTTTCTCCTCCAATAATGAGAGGAGATAGCTTTCACAAGCTTGTGCCATTTTCTCCTCTAGTGTCAAATCGGGAGGAGTGAGGGGTTGGAAATCCATGTCGGGGCTCATTCTTCCAAAATCATCATGGCTCGCCTCTTCGACTTCCTCTCTTTCTTCCAACGGTAGGAGGCGATTGTGAGCAAGTTGTGCACATGCTTGCTCAATAAGCTCTCCTCGTCTCTTCGTGCATCGAAGGAGCTCCTCCGATTCCCGAAGAAAAGTTGAGTCGATAGGGCGATGATGAAAAGGTCCAAGTCGGAGCATCTCTCGTCGATACCCCGGGCAAATTTCTCCACCATGAGCTCCCAGTTTCTCTTTGGCTCCGGTTGTGGAGTGGCACATGATCTTGATGATGATTGTCCCATGAAGGCTTCCATGGTCAACTCCAACTTGTATTTCTCCCCGTGTTCCCCAGGCCGTATTTTTACTACCGAGAGCGCGTTTGTGGTGGCTGCTGAGGAGTCCAAAACACGGGCGCCATTGGAGCAGAACACGGCCGTGTCATTCTTTGGGCACGACCGTGTTTTGGATCGACGCGGGCGTGTTTGCAACACACGAGGCGAAACACGGGCGGACAAAAGCAAAACACGGTCGTGTCCTCGGCCGTGTTTTTCCCAGTCTCGGGTTCAAAGGAGATTTCAAGCCAAAGAGAAGGGGAATACGATTTTTAGAGATAGAGAGCAGAAAATCTAGAGGGAGAAAGTGACGAACAGATTTCCATGTGCCCTAAATCGATCTTCATCACCATTGGAGCTTGGTGGAAGCTTGGAGGAGTGTTAATTGATTACCAGAAGTAGATTTTCATCCTTCACAGAATGAATTTCGCGTCTGAAGCAAATTTCTCTTCTCTCTCTATGGAGTAAACTCTCTCACTCAACTGGGTATGAAGAACCATAGATTTGTATGTTAGGTCTGGTTGTATGAACCTAAGTACAAGTTCTTTTGATACTGGTTATATTCAATTGAGGCATGATTTTCTGAATTGCATGAATCCTAATCAAATTCCTGTAGTTTCTGCTTTGACCTAGAAAGAGAATATCCGCCTAGGTTGATAGAGCACTCTTAATTGAAGGTAGTGGATTGACGACTTTAGTAGAGGAGTCGGTTCACTTTTGAAGGTAGTTGATTCCATGCCAATAACTATTACAATTAGTTGATGCCTCACTTGACACTTTCAAAGGATGGGTACTGTCATATCATTGGCAGCAAAATCTAATGATATTTAAGATCTTGATTCCAGTTTCAAAGCACCATTTGGATTTGTACTAAACTAAGTACTTATGGCAGAGTGTTCTAGGACGAGCCGAAGTAACGTTACGTGATGAGTTTGTCATTAAAAGGTTAGGTATTAACCATTGCCTCTGTTTTTGTGTGATTCTGATGTACTGGCAACGAAAGAGCTTTGTGTTTAAATTCTACTCTTAACCTTTTCGCGATTTCAATTTGTGGTTTTTTCTTTAATTTAATCTTGCATGGGTAAGGTTGCTTTGTGGCAATCTCTACTCTATAAACTGTTTTTTCTCTTCCTTTTATAGAAGTGATGAGTCGGTTTGATTTTGCATTCTTTAGGTGCTTCTTTTATGGAAAGGGATGGTTAGCTTTGCTTAGGATGAAAACGGGAATAAAAACTTTGTAACTTGATTTGGTTTGAAGAAAAAAAGGAACCAAATTGTTTGGTGAGGGAAAGTAAATGACCACAAGAAGAAGAAGGCTGGTCAGGATAGGTCAATGTGTAACTCGAGGGGATCCTGATCTTTTCTCCTTCATACTTCCCATGTCCCTTTTATGGGTTACTTCCCTCCATGCCCAAGTCGCTCACAAAAGGTAAACAGAAAATTAGCTGCTGTCAGTAATCATTTCTAAAGTTTTCATTTATATCGTAGCTTTGTTTGAAGCAACTTATCTAATCATATCAAACTGGTCTTTCATATTTTATGGTTCTTCTTTTGGTTTGGTCGAATTTGCTTTTTGAGTTATCCTACGTTTCTTTAATGTTGCCCAAGGTAATGTGGAGTAGATGCATTTGTATGCATATCCAGTTTCAAAATCTCAATGGTCAATGATGCTTTAGTTTCAAGTTTGCATTCTTTTACCGCTTAATAATCTCGGTTAGATTATTGAGTTTCGTCTTGCTACAAATCTGGATGATTCTTCTCAAATAATTGCTTTTACCTTTGGGGTAGGGGTTCAAAAATGAAACTGAACTAAAGTAAGGCCAATGGAATTATTTATATTTTTCCAGTGATTTGTTGATTTTTGAACACTTAAGGCATCTGATTTTATCGTTACATTCCAATCAAGTACATTTAGAAAGTCTTCACAAAAATTCTCAGCTAAAATACTACATAGTAGTACACAAGTACTTCCGACTTTCATTCACTGTGGGTTGAATGTGATTGGATGCATTTTGTTGTTTTTAGTCTTCACATAACTATAATGGGTTTCAAAACATGGAGTGACTTATATTGGTTGAGTAGTTAGATGAACTTGCAACCTTTTCTTTTGTCCAGAATAGATTGCTATGTTGCTATTTGGTCATGCTTAGATATATAAATACATCAGCCCGAAGGAGAGGTTAATCTAGAATAGACGAATACATACTTGCACTGGTTGTTGAGATTAACATTAAACTTCTCATCCCATTTTTATGTAATAGAAATGTCTTATGTTTCTTTTGTCAGTGCCACTGTATTGTGCTGGAGGGGTAGTTACGTGGTTAAGGAGTTGGTGAAGGGCTCTCTCTCTCCCTTCTCTTGCCATTTCTATGGGTTTGACGTCTCTAGGAGGCAAGGGATTTACAAAGCGGGGGTGAAGAACGACGCCTACCCATCCACATTCCTGTTAATGTACAAGCGACCCTCAAGTTTTTCTCACCCACTTTCTCCTCTGCATCAGTGATACAAGCAAACCATTCAATGTATCTTGATCATAGAATGTTGGCCCCCTGGCTGAATGCATGTGATTCTTGATTGCTCAATCCTTATTATTAATAGAATCAAAATGGTTGCTTAAGTTTATTATTAATGCTGCTAGCTTTCTTCAATCATTGTCGTTTCCTTTTGTTTGAATTACATTAGGCTGTGATTTCTTTGTTTTCTTCGCTCTCTTATATTTTTATGACATTTCCCAGTAGTACAACGGTACAAGTCTCCCTACTTACAAAATTTCTGAACCCACATGGTTGTTGCACTTTGTTGTCACCTAAACTTTCCATGATATATGATCATGTTGTTGCAACTTTAGTTTGGGTATTGGTTAGTAAATGGAATGACCTCAAACATGACCCTCCACCTCCTGATTTGACCATAAACTAAACTGCTCATCCATTCATTCATCACGACTTTGCAACTTAAGTCCCCGTTGCTACACCTCCTTATTTGACCATAAACTAAACTGACCATCCATTCATCACGACTTTGCAACTTAAGTCCCCGCGACGTAGCAGCGGGCATTATTTCTAGTAATCATATGACATGCAAGAATGTTATTTTTGGGAAGAGAATGTTTAAGATAATAGGTATATGGTGCACAACAAAATTTGGACCATTGTTGCTAAGTGAGGTTAGATTCAAGGGGTGAAATTAAACAAATTTATTTTCCTTACTTCTTTTAATCGGTTGTATCTTTTTTTTAAGTGAATTAATTTGTTTTTGCATAGATGGCAGTGGGACAGGCTTATTGTGATCTACAAAATTATATTAATTTGATCTATTTCTGGAAAAAAAATTGTGTATCATCCAATATCACTCGTTACCACCTAATATCACATGATAGCACAATGCATCATGTTATTTTTTAACCAAAATTTGAAACTTTTTGTACATAAGGGACTAGTTAATCTTGATCTATTGTGATTTACAAATTTTTGGGAATATAATTCTCAAGATCAAATATACCAGCTTATACTACCCTGATTTAAGGTGGTAACTGATGGTAGATGGTGCTTAAAAATTGCAAATGATGATTATTATATTCCTACTATCATCTATACAATCATTATATATTGTAGTATACTCAAACCATCATAGTATATTTTCATACCACCGGTACTCTATTAATTTCTCAATTCCTCTAGTCGGGTGGGTGTCGACCGGTCTTCCGACCAAATCCCCCTAAAAACCTTACATGCGGGTCTATCGTGCACCGTTTTTCTTCTCAACCATGACGAATCAATTGATTTTTTGAATAGACTTACGATTTACCGACATCAATCAATCACCCACAATAATTCAGTTTATTTGTCAATAAATCAATGTTAAAACCACATATCAATCACCCACTTACCCCACTAGCCCAAACCTATTAATTAATGTATAAATTTTCTAGAGATCTCCTCTTTAAATATTACATCTTCAAACGTTGCCTGACTGCCTTAACCCTGTGGTCAGCTTCAGCGGATCCCTGAGAAGAAAAAAAATTACAATTACCTGCATACATCATGAACTTCACTCGAACCATGTGTTTTAGCAGGCAGCAGCAGCATACACACAAACCCTTCGCTTCCTTCTTCTTTTCCCTCTTTTTTTCGGGACTTCGAAAAAGGTAAGATTTTTATTACAGTCTCAGGCAAAGCAATCCTCATACCTCTAGGAACTGTACCAGCTCAGCAGCCCCACCATCATGTACACCAAATTACATTGTCCACTTATCGACCTTCAATTACTCTCACATTTCTACTACTAGAATTACCAACATCCACTGCCACCACCATACTTTCATTTCTTCTTCTTGCCTTTCTCCTTTTCACTTTCACCATTTTGAAGATTTACATTTTGCAGCCATTCCATTCTCATTCAAGTATGGCTTGAAGGTCTTCATCACTTCCTCATATAAGGGCCTTTTGTAGTCCACTGCCTGCACTTCAAAAAATCCATCATGTTTGGGATTTGGCATAATCTAAAGATCTTACCTTGCATCAAAGGAACATTTTTGTTTATGACTGTTACCCCTACCAGCTCAATAACTTCTTCAGGGCTTGCCCATTTCCACTCAGAGAATTCTGAATCTGCTTCCTCATTGACTAGGTTGATCTTGTCGTTGTCTTTCATTAATCTCACAAGGAACCTGGCGTGTTTGCAAACTCATTGTCACTGCAAGGAAATCATATTCAAAGGTATCTCCGCTACAATGTTTGTGTGTGCGCTTGTGTTTTGACTTTTTGAGTTGCCAGGTTCATCCTAGAAGAGGATTAAGATCGATAATCTTGTAACAAACATCCTATATTCCTATGCTTGAGTGTTGTGATATAAACCTTCTAACACTCCAGTGCTGGTTCAGCACACAGCTTGACATAAACTGTTATGGATTAAAATTCTTTTCAAGGAAAAGAAAGTTCGATAGTGATTAAGATTGTCATAATTAAAAAAAAATAATAAGTGGAGTTCCTTATCAATTAATATTAACTAAAAGCCACATCCAAATAGACACACGCCATCTTTCAAACAGACAGAAATACAGTACCATTTTTGTGCTTGCCCGTGCCATTCTCCACCCCAAAGGCGATTTACTTTGGCTTTCACAGCAGGAGGGAAGTCATAAGTCAGCCATTTAGGAACCTGTAAGCAAACCCAGAAAGACGATAATTATTATAAAATCTACTAATCCAGAGTGACTCCTGCTTAAGGAAGTTTTGAATCAAATATTTCCCTAACAGCTGCTAAAAATCCACTTAACAATCAAGACAGCGCTGCACTACATTTTGGTTTTGTTTACAAACCTCAGTAACGATTTCTGCAGTTGTTATCCCGGTTTCTGCGCGTACTTCCCTGATTGCAGCAGTCATGGGCTCTTCGTCATCCTCAATACTTCCCTAAGATAGTGAAAGGTATTTGAGGCATTAAGAAGACAGCATAACATCTAAATGACAATGATTACATAGAATGTGCATTTCCACTCCTCTCCCCATACAGTAACTTTAGTCTTTTATTTGTCACTTGTCAGACCTTTAAAATCTCTGATCCAGGTTCTCAAGGTCTAGTCGCTTATGATATATGTGAGTCAACAGTCTTCACACAGTAGAAAGAACGAGAATAGAAAATTCTAATATCACTTCTGAGGGAGGAAAAATCTAATCAGAAGGGGTAATTCACAACAGGGTGATGAAGGTCAGGCAGATGAACCTTGATAATATCAACTGCTGAATCAATGCAGCAGTGGCTTGTACAACAACAGATTCATGCTTAATGACGCAAATGAAAAATGAATCTCAGGCTTGGACATCCTTTCGTAAAGTTATACCATCCGGGTAAGCAAGGTACCAAAAGGACTTGATTCTAAACACAAACAACTGATGTATAGCAGAGAAGAGAATGTCAGGCAAGCATACCTGAGGCATTTGCCAGGCTCCTGGAACATTCAATTTAGAGGCCACAAAGACCTGCGAGAAAAGCAAGAAGGTCCACAATATCATTAAAGAGAAACAGTTAAAAGAATGCAATTATTATGATATTCGTTCCTGACATCCGAGTGCAGGACTAGAATTGCAATATATGAGATAAATACTATAACGAAATTACAATCCGCAAGCTAGCAGAGCAAAACAAATTGACACTTTTGGCTTCTTGCAGTTGAATGTGCAGGTTTTAACCAAGTAAAAGTGCAAAGCTCATACCTTTATACGCCTTTTCACTAGGACCAAATATAGTAAGGATCCCAAAATTAGAAAATGAAAAGGGAAGCTTAGTGATTCATTAAATCATAGTTTCATAGTCAGATGAGATCGCGTCTCAGGATCTAGTTCAGACCAACCAACCAAGTTACAGGGCTTAACATCTGACCTTTACTAGACCATTTATCTCTCTCTGCATTCAATTTTGGACAACGGCACAAATACCATGATGACACCAGCAAGCGTGTTTCAGGTGGATGACATAATTGCATCTAGGGAGGACATCAGCATGCAAACCATACAAACACAGTAAAGAAATCCTACTCCCAGAAAGTTGCTTCCCCAGATACACAACTGCCCCAGAAACAGACAATAAAAATGAGCCAAGCAAAAAATACAAAAGATCAGAAAATAAATAAATGTCAACTCTAGATTGCTGCAGAAACTAACAAATGCATCCAAATCGATGAGAATACAAAAGAGAAAAGGTCAAATTTTGCAATTCTGATTTAAGGAAAAAAATCCAATCACCATATCTGTACCACTACAGGAGTTCATAATAATGATCCTCATCTGCAGATCCAGATCTCCCATCTCCACAAATCTATATGAGACCCAGGTCACCAACCCCACAACCAAAATTAACAGCAACACTTAAGCGTTTTCGCTTCGTCCCTAGAGAGCAGAATTGACTAACAGTTACTACTACTGATGATCAATAAGCACAAACCCATCAGTCTGAAACCAGCAAGGATTGATTGAAAACGAGAACAAAAAAATTAGAGAGAGACGGAAGAACTGGGAAGTGGGTTGATAGCTAACTGACCTGGCCATTAGAGTTGATTAGACAGACACCAACATTAGGGCGGTACCCAGAAGGCAAACCATCCATTTTACTTTTCCTTTAGGCTACAACCCCTTCCTCCTTTCTTTGAGAGCTTTATTTAGTGCCTATTGCCTTGCTCAGTGGAACAATCTGAATCAGGAACTGTAAAACACAGCAAGCTTCTGATATCAATCAGTACATCTATATATAAGGCCCTTTATTTCTGTGTCAAATCTTCAGCAGAGCAAGAGCCAAGGGCAGAGAAAAGTGAGGGGAAAGAGTGGGTTTTATGGGGATTGGAGACGCTGACCATCATAAATGGCTGACCATGAACTCAACTTTCTCTCTCTTCTTTATTTTTTCTTTTTCTTATTGGCGGAGCAAAGCAAACTTCAATTAATGAACAATACAAACAAAAAGGAGACAGATAGTTGATATCATGGGGAAGAAAGTGGTGCTTTTTCTCATTTTCGGAAAAGGTTTTGGGAATTTTTGCCCCCACTTCTTTTATTATAATAGTTTGGGTAAATACAATTTATTAGCCAAACCTTTCATTTTAAACAAAATAATAGCTAAACCTTTTAAAAAATAATTTAGTAGCCAAATCGTTAACTTTCCATCTGGTCAACTGTTAGTTGACTCTGACGTGGCAAATGAGTTGCTGAGTCAGATAATTTAATTTCAATTTTTATTAATTTTTCAACTCAAATAAAGAAATTAAATAAAATAAAAAAAAGGAAACCCCTCCTCCCCGTACCCTTCCTCCACCCAGCAACCAAACCCCCCGACGGACTCCGACACTTTTCATCTACAAGCTCGCTCTGCGCTATCTCTCGATCTTCCCTCTCCTCCTGCCAATCCCAAACACTGTCAGTAGCAGCAGATCGGCGTCACCATCGGCGTCTCCTCCCTTAATCCCGTCAACGCCCTGCACGGCGACATCGGCGCTATCTCCTCTTTCTTTACTGGTTGTGGTTTGGTAGCGAATCAGCGGCGACGGCGGCGGTGAATGGTTTTCACTTACATAAATGTTTTCCCCTGCTCTATGCCAAGCTCTTAAGGCTTCCTCTCCTTCCCCTATTTCCACCATCTTCTCTCGACCTCATCGATTTCACTATTGTTGGCGATGTTCCATCATTAACATTAGAGCCGACTTGGTATTCATTACCAGCTGGCCGTATCCGACCTCACAATTGCATCTCAGAACTTTTGCATCGCGCTTCAATCGAGTTCTCACTAGCTTGACTTATTACGTATGGTATATTTTTGTTAATTAGGGATTTGAGGACGAATCTAAAAGCAAGATTGTGTGTTTGATTTGTCTGTATAAGGTTTTCAAATTAGAAGAAGAGGTCGACAGTTGGGGATTTTGTTGAAGATAAGGAGACCAAGAGTCACGAGAAGGATAAAGCATTTTCCAGCAACTGTCTAGGTACGGGAAGGTGGACAAGGATTTGGGTGGTTGGGGAGTTTCAGGGAGAAGATGAGGGAGAAGATGAACAGTACAAAAAAGATATTAGATCTTTTTTTTGTAATTTAATTTCAATTTTAAAAAATAAAAATTGTTTTGTAAAATAATAAAATATCTATGTGGCAATGTCAAACATTTGACTTTGTGCCACATCACAAAAAACCATCCATCTCACTTGACACTTTGCCACGTCAGAGTCAACTAACGGTTGACCGGATGGAAAGTTAACGGTTTGGCTATTAAATTGTTTTTTAAAAGGTTTGGCTATTATTTTGTTTAAGAGTAAAAGGTTTGGCTAATAAATTGTATTTACCCTAATAGTTTTGTGTTGAAAGTCAGAATACTTTTCGGGTTTGGTTAATTGCTTCCTAGGTCACTTAAATTCTACACCATTGTATGTTATCACTTGTGTAATATTTGTTGCAATTAAATCACCTAACTTTAACTTTGGGTTGTATCTAGGGTTGGGCATACGGTTTGGTTTTACCGAACCGACCGAAACCGAACTATTCCTTATTAGGTTCGGAATTCGGACGGAGATATCCTGAATTTCGAAAGACATGTGTCTTTTAACCGAACCGAAAAATCAATTTAGCGGCCGATTTTCCGAATTGATAATGGTCCAACCCCTTTTCAAACTTCAGCGTACTCCCACTTAATACTTAACCCAACTAAAGCCCAATTTCCAAACCCAACTCCTCTCATGTCCAGTCCAGAACTCCAGATCAATCCAATTTCCAAATCCCCTTCAGGCTTCAATAGTTTCGTTTCACAACCGAAAAACCCTAACTCCCTAAGGTGATTGTCGATTGCCGAAGCAGCAGCCAGTAGAGAGGCGACGCGGTGCAACGACCACGACTGTTGCCGCTGCACCCCGTGGCTATCTCGGCATCCTCAACCCCGACGTCCTCTCCCCGAGCCCGACTCCCTGACTCCCTCCATCTCTCCCATTCCCAGTCTTGAGTCTACCACCGCCAGTCGCCTAGTCCATCATGCCACTCGCCGCCTCCCTCCCACTCCCAGTCTCCCACCCACAAACTCTCCCTGCCAGGCGCCGACAGCCACCAGTCGCCGCATAGAAACATGACCACCAGTCGAAGACCAAAGAAAACCCACCGGCAGCTCCACCAACGCCGACGTGAAAGGTCAACATATTCCAAACGAGAACGTGGACGTCCATCTATTGGTAGGTTCTTAATATTCAAGAACTTGATATTGTTATTTCAGTTTGCTTTTTGAGATTGCTATTTGAGTTTGCTATTGTTTAATACCAAGTGTGTCCAGAAGAGCAGAAGGCAGAATGGTTGAATAGCAAGTAATTTGTTGGTTTGTAATTTAGGATATAGCAAACTACTTTGTTGGTTTAATTTAGGCGTGTGGATTAAGGACAAACCATTTAAATTTATAATTTTTTATGTTGCTTAATGGCTAATGCTACTGCCGCTTGTGTTTATTGATGGTGTAGGAAGAGGATTCATCGACCGATGGTGATCCTCCTGTGGATGAAGCTGTTGTTTGCTCCGGCTCTACTACCAAAAAATCGTTAAAACCAAAAAGAAAGGAGATGAAGTCAAGAGTGGTGTGTTGGACTCAAGTCACAAAGTTCAATGCCCCGGACGGATATAAGATGTCAAGGTGTATGAAGTGTGGGAAGGAGTATGAGGCTGATCCATTTCTTAATGGTACCTATGCTATGAATGTTCATATGCGAAAGGGTTCTGGTGACAAAAAAAGATACTACTCAACAACTCTTGAACTTAGGGAAAACTAGGGTAGAAGGTAAAGGTACTTTAACGAAGTGGAAGTTTGATCAAGAAGCTACTAGAAAGGGTTTAGCTTACATGCTCATTGTTGATGGAAAACCGTTCAAGTTTGTTGATGGGGTTAAGTACTTCATGTCACTATGATGCCCTATGTTCAATATTCCTTCTAGGAGAACAATTACTAGGGATTGCTTTGCCTTCTATAGTGAAATGAAAGACAAGTTGAAAAAGTATTTTAAAAGTTCTGAAGGAAGAATTTGTTTGACTACTGATGCATAGAATTCGAAGAAGCAAGATAGCTTTATGTGCTTAATTGCTCCCTTCATTGATCAAGATTGGAATTTGAGAAAGAAGATCATCGATTTTGGAGAACTTAAAAGTCATAAAGGTGTAGATATTGCCGATGGAATTATTGCTTGTTTGGATGATTGGGGGATTGAGAAGGTATTCACAATTACTGTCGATAATGCTAGCTCTAATGATACAGCTGTGGTCAAATTGAAGGAACATTTTAATGCTAGAGGGACTAGTATATGTGATAGTGAATTCCTTCACATAAGATGTGTAGCTCACATTTTAAATTTGGTTGTGTCTGATGGGCTTGGAGATATTTCCTTGTCGTTGAAGAGAATTAGAGAAGCAGTGAGGTTCATTAGAAATTCACCAGAAAGGTTGAATTTGTTTTGGGAGTTTGCTACTGTTCAAAAGGTAGAAGGCAAACGTGGCTTGTGTCTTGATGTTCCTACTAGATGGAACTCGACATTCTTGATGTTGCAGGCTGCTGAGAGGTTTGAAAAGGTCTTCATGATGTTTGACATGTATGACGACCATTTTCAAAAGGATTTGGAAAGCATGAAGGATAGACATGGCATAATTGGGGTCCCGGAGAAGGATGATTGGGAGAATGCAAGGAGAATGATGGAATTTCTTGTTCGGTTCTACGACTTCACCTTGAAGATCTTGGGCTCAAAATATACCACTTCCAACTTGTTCATACGCCTTTCTCTTTGTCATTTGATTTGTGTAGCATCGTCCTTGGAGTCATTTTAAATTAGGTTTTGTCATGTTTTAGTATGTTTGGGCTCTAGTGGGTGAAATAAATGAAAGGATCGAAAGTCGATGAAATGGAGAGGAATAGAGACCAAGTGCTAGAAATGTCAATGATCACGGTTCAGGATCATGAACTTAAACCGTGAAGATTCCCCCGAAACTATGATCGTTGCAAGTTCTACTTTGGATGTCTCACGGACAATGCAGAGATTGCGGACGTGACTTATGGTCGTGAAGATTGCACTGTCGGGTATAAATGTGAAGTGAGAGCATATTTCAAAGATAGGAGAGTTGGATATTCTTCTCATTCTATAGAAAGAAAGCAACTAACTAAGGAAGATTGAAGGGGAATTTGAGCTACCAGAGATCAAATGAGCCTAGATTCCATTTTCAACACCATCCCAAGCAACTAGGGAGAAGGAGCTTTATCTTTTCATGGTTTATCCTTCTCTATAGTTGCAGTTCTTTCTCTTGGCATGGAGTAGATTATCTATTCACTTGGATGATGTGAACCCTAGTCTAGGATGTCGTAGTTTTGTGATTGTAAACTCTTTGTTGTGATTGGCATGATTGTTATATATTGATTAAGTATTTATCATGATAACTGAAGGTCGTTGATCAATTCTCTTAATTTTGGGGCCAATTAACCTAGGTGAGAGAAGATCTCCTTAAGGTAATTTTGGTCCTTATTCAATCACCTTAAGAGGGCCATGAACGAGGGTGGTTGGTTAATTTAGGCCATTTCAGGTCTGATGTGATCCTCTACAGCGACCCAAAAGCACTCCCCTCGAAGTTGGAAGAAGGAGGCACCCCATGAAATCAAGAAGGGAGGACTAGTTCAAAATCCATGGTTAGGGGAGTCAATTCCACCACTGTGGAACAGAGAGCCAGACCGTGGATTGGAACAGCAACGTTCCACAACCACAGATATCAATTCCACGATTGGGGAATTGGAGGACAGATCGGGGAATTTGCCTGACGTGCTGAATTTACCTTTATAAATTAGGATTATTTTCCTTTTTGGATTTTTGTTTAGTTTTTGTTTATCTAGTCTATATAAAGGCTCAAACACTAGTTTTAGGTCTGAGATTAAAGAATATGAGTTTATTTTTGTTCATTGAGATTTATGCTTGTGAATTTTCCATGTATCAATAGAGTTTTCCCCTTGATTATGGTCGAGATTCTACCTTTATATTGAAAGAGCTTCTCCTAGGTGAGTGATTGCACTTTAATTCTGCATTATCCCTATCTCTAATTCCTATTATTAGCTGCGTTACATTGATAATTACGTGCACTGATTACGTGCTTGTATCAAGTGGTATCAGAGCTCCGGTTCAATACAGTGGTGAGAAGAAAGGCAAGAGGACATGTTTCTTCTCGGACGAGATCAAAAGAACCCATAGGGAACCACGTTGCAGAAGTGGATTCTTTGTATGAGGAGGAAATCTCATCTAAAGAGCAAACCATGGAGTCAAATCTTGCAGAAGCCATGAAATAGCTTGCAGCACAGATAGCTCATGTGAGAGCTTTGCTTCAAACCCAACAGGAGATTAACAAAGCTCCGCTCGTTGAAACCAACAATCGTCTGGATACCCTAATCACCAAGTTGGAGACACAACCACTGTGTAATCCACCAGAGAATCTAGTAGCTTCACAGCTCAGATTGGGGCCGAGAATGCAGAGGGCCCTAGAGTTATTGATTTAATTCTTGATTAAAGGGACTAAATCTGAGGATTATCGACTAAGAGAATTATTTTATGAGAATTATTTTAAGAGTTATTGACTTGTTTGAATTGATTTAAGTCTTGATTAAAGGGTTGAAAAATCTAGTTTTGAGGAAATAATTTAAAGGAGATTGAGGGTCATTTTTAAATGATTTTGGGACTAAGTAATCAAGGAGGGAAATTTTCTCAAAACGTTAAAGGGATTAAATCTGAGGATTATCGACTAAGGGAAGATAATTTCTGTTTATAGGATAAAGGAAGCGATCGGATTAAGGATTTTACGTCAAGGGAACTACGGATTGTCATTTGAGAGGTGAGTGGTTTACATAGTTAGCAACAGTGTTGTGAAAACCGAGCCGAGCCGCCAAAACCGCCAACCGGGCCCAAAACCGGCTCAGATCAGCTATTTAGCCGGACTGGTTCTCTAGGGCGGCCGGCGAGCGGCCGAAGCGGTTAACCGCTCGAGCCGGTCGTCCGGTTTTTTACATTCGGCCGGTTGGTGAAATAAAAAAAAAACTAAAAGACCGAAAAATTAAAGGGGATTCTGGGTCGGGGTCGGGCAGAACCCTAATTCCCAAATTTCTTTCCCCATCTTCTTCTTCTTCGTGGAGAGCCTGCCCTGGAGACAAGAAGCGCCGTCGCCATCTTCTCCTGGCGTCGTCGTCGTCGCCGTCGCATCAGCTTCTCGTGGTAGGCATTCGAAATCCACGACGTGGAAACCAACAACTCTTCTTCTTCTTCATCTTCGTATTATTCCCCTGTTCTTCTTCTTCTACCTCCTCCAGAGTGGATTCGAGAATCGCGAGATTCGCCGCCATGAACCCGAGCTTGAAACACGGGGAGAGCTCGTACAGCAGCTGAGTTGACGCGGCGTGCTCTTTGCCGTACAGCTCCGCCACAGGCGGCGGATTCTCCGCCGGATTCACTCTCGAAGATTTCAGCGCTAGAAACCACACGAATTCCCCTGCTCCGAATTCCATCAGCCTCTGCTCCGAATTCCCCTTTCCTCCGCTAGAAACCACACGAATTCCCCTTTCCTTCGTAAATCGAGCTAGGTTTAGTATAAGCTGGACATTTGGGGCTTTTGCTTGAATTGATTGTGAACTTGTTCTCGTGGTGGATGTAATCTGGTGTTTGGAATATACTCAGCTGCTGATATAGTGAACTGATTGTTGGAATAGTTAGCAATTTGGTGATGGTTTATTCCCTGTCCCATTTAGAAGCTAGAATAGTTAGCAAATTGGTGATGGAATTGTTGGAATAGTTTAAGAGAGTAATTTACTTGTGATTTACCATGATTAAGAAGTGTCCACTATTTATACAGATGACTGTTTATTAGGTACCGGTTCTCAAACGGTCTAATGTCGGCTGGACCACTAAAGACCGAGCCGTTCACGTTTCCGGGTCGTACTCCGGTTCGGTTCTGACAACATTGTAGTAAATACTCCGTTTAATACACGTATATGTACCCGTACGTACTTTATCCGTTTAGAACTTCCGTATCCGTATTATTGTCAAGTCGCTTCATTTTTGTCCGTTCATTTGATGGCTCTCGTATTAAACACATATAAAACTCGTATAACACGTTTAAGATCCTTATTTAATAAATTAAATTATTATCTTTACTATTATAAATATATTTATATTTTTTAAAAATAATTAATTTTCTATATTTGTGACAATTAATGTACTATTAAACGTAACATTAGCATAGAAATGAAGTAAAATACCCGTACGTATTTTATACATAACTTTCCTGCACCATATTTTACTAACTATTTAAGGGGGTAAATTCTACGCCTTACGTGTTTTCAAGTATTTGTCTTACGAGTTATAAGTATGTGTGTTTATGAGAAACATATGCTAGTGTTGACTTATATCGTGATCGGTGATATATGCTCTATTTGAGTTATTATTGTGAAGTATATGATTATTTGAGCTTTCAACATCTACTTGAAGCTTTTATATTATGTTTATTTATTGAAGTTTGTATGATATTTAAGGATTAACATTTAAGAGGTATTCACTCCTAATTATTGTGAAGTATATGATTATTTGAGCTTTCAACATCTACTTGAAGCTTTTATATTATGTTTATTTATTGAAGTTTGTCTGATCTTTAAGGATAAACATTTAAGAGGTATTCACTCCTAATTTAGTTAGGGTGAAAAGGTTTAAAGGTAGTTCTCTAACGTCAGTCCCCTGCCCTAGTAAAAGTTGAAAGGAAGAGCAAGTTTGCTCTTAAGGAACATGTGGATGAATTACTTAGACATCACAAGAAGTTTAAAGGAAGAGTATGATATACTCTTAAGGTTATAAGGGTGAATCGATTAGACTACCATAAAAATGTTTCAGGAAAGGCCTCTGTTGGCCCTCATACATATGAGCTGGACAACTAGACTAGTTAGTGAGGGATCCTAGTTTCGGTCAAAGGTTTAATGTTTTTGAGAGTGGCGAGTAACTATAACTGCCATGTTTTAAGAGTTAAATTTTAAGGGGTGAAAGTATAATCAACTTCCAACGGTTTTTGAGGAACACTTAAGGGAATACCCTTAACTGCTTCGAGTTTAAATAATGGCGTAGACTGACCCCAGCATCTAGTCGAGGAGCATCCACTAAGAGAGCAGGCTGCCAAAAGAGGACCATGTGAACAGTACTGAGGATGTTTGATCATGGATCTGAATAAGCAGCATTTGAGACCTTTAGTTATTTGTTTTATGATTATGAGTATTGACTGGAGATTTAAAATATTAAGACTTTATGATTTGAGGTTTGCCGAAGTGTTAGGGCTTTGTTTTTTATTTATTATGAGAATTTAGTTATCAGTATTGGTATTTTGAGCATAATGTTATTCTTTCCTTTCAAAATTTAAAATATGCTACGGAGCAAAACTATTATTTAAAGGTTTTAGAGATCGGGATAAGACATTTTGGTATCAGAGCCCACATTCCTCTGTTTTCTTGTCTCCAAGAAATACTGGAATATCGGTCTTAGTTTTAGGCTTTGTTTTAAATGAGGGAAATTGAATTTTAAGTTAAGGGTTTGGCCAAACGAGTCTAGGGTTTTCTTTTAAGAGTCTACAAAATCTCCAGTCTACTCTAATCATATTAAGGAAGTACAAATCCTCGTAGTAAAAAGGATAATGATACGTGAGGCTTGGAGTCGTCACAACGAATGAATTTCGAGGTCGAGATTTTATTTAAGGGGGAGGGAAATTTTATATCCCAACTAACTATATCCTCCAAACACGACGTATTGTCCTAGAGGTGGTTGTTCTCAGTTATATCCTACAATTCCAAATTTCGGGCCGAAAATTTTATAAGGGTGGAGGAAATGTAACACCCTGACACCTGAATTCAAATTCGATCATAATAATTAACGATTTGATTGACGGCTACGTACAAAGGACTACTGAATTTTAATAATAATTATTATTATTTTAAAAAAAGGAAAAGGAGATTTAATCCTCTCCCCACCTCACCTACATGTCACGGTTTCTCCCTCCCTCCCATTAAACCCATTATCCCCCCATAATTCCCCATCCCAATTCCCAAACAATTACCCATCTTCTTTTATTAATAGCAGTAGAATATCCACGTCCATATATACATCAATTAAAAACAGCAGTGATCGAGTATATTATAAAACAGATGGTCGTCGATCGTGATTTTCTGTAAGTTTCAATCTCCAAATTAATCCTTAATATAATTAATTCCATCAGCATTTAATGTCGTTTGGTGGGGACGCATATGATAGAAATCTAATTAATAGCGCTCATCATTGCTTGGGATACCTTCAGTAAGGTAACTCACCTAAGTAACTAGATCAGAACTTTTAGATATAATTGGGTTTTGAAAATCCAGATTTAAAGGTTGTGAATTAAAAATATTTTATTTTTCTTAATTTCTTAATTGATCTATCTTTTTCGTTCTAACTCGGATTTTTTTTTTCACAGATGGAACGAGTTCGTTGTGCTTTACAAAATGAGATTAATTTTCAATATATGTCGAGAAACTTTTTTCATACATCCCGTTACCAACTACATACCGTATGGTAACTTCTTCATTTTTAAGTCATTTATGAAAACGTTTGCTCAGAACGAACGAGTTCATCATGATCTATTGGATCTACAAATTTCTGGGTGAAAAAATAAGGTTTAATACACTTGTATATCCAAAACTTTTACGGTTGTGCCAATAATATCCAAATTTTCCGGAATACCACTTATATCCATATTTAAAGTTGTTCTTTGTCAAATCTATCCATTTCCCAATATATTTTTGGTTAAATACACTTGTATATCCAAAAACACCGTTAAAGAATGTGAAGGAATTGGATATAAGTGGTATTTCGGGAAATTTGGATATTATTGGCACAACCGTGAAAGTTTTGGATATACAAGTGTATTTAAGAACCAAAAATTACAATACTTTACCACTCTAGTATGTGGGTGTTAACTTGTGGTAAATAATGATCAATTTCGTAAATGACAGTTAGTATACTCATACTATCATGTATTCAACCTTCCTATAGTATTGGTATGTTCATACCATCATGGTACGCTTTCTTACCATATGGTATGTGATATGCAACAAAAGGCTCTGATAGAGGCTTAATCCTTACCTGATTTAGCTCTCGAAGAGAAACCCACCATTATCCAAAATAAATACAACTCCAATTCTATTTACGAATGGAATCTTGATGGATTTTCAGAATATCAAATTTTGAACCTTCTTCAACAAATGACCATGGTAGCTAATGCTTACAAAACACAAAATCAAACTTCTGATTACGCTATAGCTGAACTACTTATAGCCGGCTTTGCTGGTCAATTAAAGGGTTGGTGGGATAATATCTTAACCGCAGAAGACCAGAGAACTATTTTTACAGCTGTCAAATGTGATTCTTCTGGAAC